TTTTTTTTTTTTTTTTTTTTTTAATTCTTTTATTATTTATTTTTTATTTATAATTCAACTCTAAAAAAATTTCTTATAAATTATATATTCTAATTATTACGTGTTAATTTAAATTATAATTTTAGATAAGAATTAAATAATTTAGAATTAAAATGAATATATATTGTTATTATTATTACTATTTTTATAATTATTTAAAACAGTTTTAACTGTCAACTGTCGTGAATTGAAGGAGACAGCTTTTTGCAGTAGCGCCACGTCATAAGCGGTGGAGGGAAAATTAGCCGCCAACTCAGGAACGTGATTTCTGACATGCTTTCCACGTGATTTTCAGACAATGCCACCCCTGTGGGCCCCTCCACTGCCCTTTTTTTTTTCTTTAAATAAAGGCTAAATAATAATTTTGTATATTCGTATTTAATAAATTACTAAAATTTTAAATTTTGATTATCCCAAAATTTAAATTTTTTTAAAATGTTTGTCTAATAAATCTAACATTTTGTGTCTTATCAAATTTAAAATTTTATTAAAATAACATTAAAAGAATTTTAAAATCTAAAAAATTTAGAGATTAAATATTTATTTAATTTTTTTATATTCTAAATTGAATACTTTATAGTGCAAAAAGATAATTAACAGAATTCTTTATTATTTTTATTTTTTATTTTTATTTTGCTGCGCACCGTTATCAAAAACATATCAGCTTTTCTTTTATCCTAATATGTACGAATTTGTTCCTTTTTATTCTATTAATTAATTATAATATATAATAAATAAAGTGGTTAATCATTAATACATGGGAATTTATTTCCCACTTGCATTATTTATATAACCAACTTATTGAAATTCAATTTTCATTTACTTTAAGCCATAAATATATTTAGTTTTGGAACAATATTTATTGGAATTAATGTAATCTAATTTATTACCACATGGGTAATAAATTAAAATTAATAATAGTTACATTTACACTATTTAATGAGCTTATTAAGATTTATAGCATCTATAGACTCAACCCATATTAATTAATATTAATATTATAAACTTAGGATACTTTATTAACCTAATTATTATTTGAATCATGCTTATTATCCTTAAATGATTATGAAATAAAGTTTAAAACATTGAATTTTCATATTCTTATAAATGTAATTTAATGAAAATAATTAAAAAAGACAGCATAATTGATTTTTTTTTTATTTTTTATAATTGAATATATTTGAATTGATTAGGTGGAAGAGATGGTTTGTTCTCCCAAGCAAGCGTGCTTTCCACTAACCACGTCACTCATCTACTACATCCTTTATTTACTAAGTTGCCCTTTTGATTCAAATTTACTCATTTGCCCTCCTCGAGCAATAAATGTTTATCAATTTAAGCATAAATTATTTAATTAAAATTTTTTAATAAATATTTAGATTTATTACTAATAATTAAGGAAAAAAACTTCAAAATTTTAAGCATGTCGCACGTGCGGTGGCATAATTTTGGTCGGCAAAAGAAAACGGAAGGAATTGTAAATCAGGAAGGTGGGACCCACCTGCCAGCTGGATCGAACAACTCACCTTTTCTCTTGGTGGTAGCTCGGCGAATACTATCGAGTCAATTGCAAGCAAAGCTACACGTCAGTATCTTACGTGGCATCCTTGCTGGACATTCCGGCTAGTTCCATTGGCCAAACTCCCACCAATAAAATCAAAGTTGTCTTGCAGTAAAATTTAAATTTTGAGCTGTAACCTTTAAATATATTAATATAATAATTGAGGGTAGAAATATATTAATTTTTTTAAAATTTTGAATTTATTGTTAAATATTAAATACAAAATTAAAAAATTAAGAAAGTCCGGTCAGGCTAAAAAATTAACATCACGGGTTCGACTTCTCAGCTCCAAAAACGATTCAACTGAGAGTAACAGTAAATCGCCAAAAGGTAAGAGAGAAAAAAAAAAAAATCTGAGAGGGAAATAAAAAGGGAAATAAAAAGGATATTGAAGATTTGATAGGATATATTATATAATCATAAATGTTGTTGCTAAAGAGAGCGGGTAGAGATTTAAAGATCCAAGCGACGAGAAAAGGGATTTACAGAAACAGAACGTGTTTAGAACCCTATTTTTCTCTGTCGATTCTTTGTTTCGATCGTTTTTTTCTGCGTTTTTTTTGGTTTTTCTTGGTGGGTTTTGGGTTTTGAAGATGATGATGGAGATGGAGTGGCCTTCTTGTCTTGATGAATACGAAAAGCTTGTTATTAGGATGAACACACCCAGGTTTCACTCTCTGTTTCATCGATCTCCCCTGTTTTTTGTTGAAATTTTCGAACCCATTTGATGGATTTGGCTGTTGATTCTTGAAATTTCTTATGATTTTTGTTTGTTCTTTCTTCACTTGATTTAGGGTTGTGATTGATAATGGCGCTTGCTCTACTGCCACTCTCGTGAAGGTACAAAGAACAAAAATCTCCATTAAAATGCTCTGTTCATCTCTGTTCATCTGGAACTGTGTTTGATTCTGTCGCTGAAACTGTATTTTGTTTGAAGGTTGATAGTGCTAGAAGATATGGAAATCTCTTCGAGGCTGTACAGATTCTTACTGATATTAACCTCTCGATCAAGAAAGCTTATGTTTCTTCAGATGGGCGATGGTTCATGGATGGTAAGATTTAGAACAGGAACGCCTTATTTTGCCTGTTTGTTCTTCATTTTGAATGTTTTTTAATGGTTGTGTTCTTTAATTTCATTGTAGTGTTTCATGTTACTGATCAAAACGGCGAGAAATTGACCGACGACACTGTGATTCACTACCTCGAGCAGGTGATTTAGATTGTTGATTGAACTTATGAACATTCTTTTGCTGGTTTGTTGTGGTTGAAACTCATTTTTTGGATCTGGGGGTGTTTGTTTGTTCAATTTGGCAGTCGCTCGGGACGACCCATTATCGGAGGAATGAAGCGTTTAATGGTGCCACCACGGCGTTGGAGCTCACCGGGACAGACCGTGTTGGTCTTCTGTCGGAGGTGTTTGCTGTGCTAGCTGATCTGCAGTGTGATGTGGTGGAAGCTAAAATTTGGACTCACAATGGCAGGATTGCTTCCTTGATCTATGTCAAGGACTGCAACTCAGGTTCCCCCATCGAAGACCGACAGAAAATTGACATCATTGTAGCACGGTTAAGGAGTGTTCTTAAGGGAGACAATGACATTCGTAGCGCGAAGACGTCGGTGTCAATGGCAGTAACACATACCGAAAGGAGACTGCATCAAATGATGTTTGCTGACCGTGATTACGAAAGGAAGGCTATCTTGAAGTCAAACGCTGCCGATTCCCCTGGTGTAACGGTTCAGAACTGCGCCGAAAGGGGTTACTCGGTTGTGTACGTTCAATGCAAAGATCGAACGAAACTATTGTTTGATGTTATATTCACCTTGACAGACATGGAATATGTGGTGTTTCATGCCACAATCAACACTGCAGAAGAAAGAGCATATCTGGTATATATAAATATCTACATGAGTTTAAACTGAACCATTTTTATGTTTTGAATCGAGCTTGAACGTTTTTCGGTTCGGTTTTATCAGGAGTTCTACATTAGGCATAGCGACGGAACCCCAATTAGTTCCGAACCCGAAAGGCAGCGAGTGATTCAATGCTTACAAGCTGCTATACAAAGAAGAGCATCTGAGGTAACTCTCCATTGCAACTGATTGGTATTGTTTCTTGCAAATGAACCAAACTGATTATATTGTGATTGTGAGATGCAGGGTGTGAGGCTAGAACTATGCACAGTGGACAGGCCAGGCCTTTTAGCAGATGTGATGAGGACGTTCCGAGAGAACGGTCTGAACGTAACGAGGGCCGAGATCTCCACGGCGAGGGACATGGCTCGAAACGTATTCTACGTGACCGATGCGGTTGGAAATGCAGCTGATCCAAAGACCATAGAGTCGGTCAGACAAAGGATTGGGTTGAGTAAGTTAAAGGTGAAGGAAGTTGCGTCGAGTTGTGATCAAGCGACAGAGAGGGAAGAACAAACGGTCGGAGTTGGTGGGGCGGTGTTGTTTACGCTCGGAAGCATGGTGAGGAGGAATCTGTACAATCTAGGACTGATTAAGTCATGTTCGTGAGCGAGCTCGAGATCGATTCGATACTAGAAAAGAGTAGCGAGATTGGTTTTAGTTTATGAGAAAGATTCTTTGCTTATGGTAATATGATTTGGTGTATATAAAGAATATAGAGAAAAGGTGGAATTTGGTGTTATATATGGGTTTGTTTGAAAGAGTTTTTTTAGTGTATAGTTAATGATGTAAATATCAAATTTTATATTAATGTAATGAAAAATATTGGATTTATTAATTTTTTTAAGGCTTTACTCAATTTTTTAAAATACTCCTATAAATAAATTATTTTATAAATAGAGATGTTCGGGATGAAAAAGCTTTCTCCATTTTCGGTCCAAGATAAGTTAACGTTGATTCATTTTTGAAAAAATGTGCATTTATTTAATTATTACAATTAGAGTATTAAATTAATTAATTTATTTTTTTAATATAGCCAAATGACATATATATAGTATGGGTTGAAATATATATTTATACTAAGTGGCATGGGACGGTGAATTGAGCTGTGACATGGATTATAATCTTTTCTATTTGTTGACGGAAACAAATGGTCTACGAACAAGGAAGCTATAAGTAATGCAACTATGAATCTCATGGAGAGTTCGATCCTGGCTCAGGATGAACGTTGGTGGTATGCTTAACACATGCAAGTCGGACGGGAAGTGGTGTTTCCAGTGGCGGACGGGTGAGTAACGCGTAAGAACCTGCCCTTGGGAGGGGAACCAGAGGTGGAAACGACTGCTAATACCCTGTCGGCTCAGGAGCAAAAAGAGGAATCCCCCAGAGGAGGGGCTGGCGTATGTTTCTCATTACTCGTTAGACAAAAACAGCTAATATAAAAATAGGGAATATAATTCTGTCTCCCACTCGAGTAACATAAAAAAAAATGTTCCCATCTAAATAAAAAATGAGGTCGGGTAGAAATAACATCTTTATTTATAAATTTGGTTTTTAAAAACTAAATAATTATAAAAAAAAAAAAATTGTAAGTTTCGTTAATATCTTAACTCAAAACGTTGACGATTGATTTAGAACTTATTTTAATTTAAAAGAATTAAAAAAATAAACATAAAAACAACACTTTAACAAAAAAACATATACACAAACCAAAAGGAAATGAACTAGATAAGTTATATATAATTTAAATTGGTGAAAGAAATTATATTAAATAAACTTTATTATTATATTATTATTATCATCTGAGTGAAAAATTAATTGTATTTAATTGGTCTGATACTAATTATTCACTCAAAAATAAATTAAAAACCTCAAATTTAAGCCATATTATTTATAATATATTTATTAATAAATAAAAATTAAACAAAAGGTAAACCTTTTAAATTATTTTATCTAAAATTAATGGGTTGAAAATATTAAATAAAGAAATTTTCATAACATTTTTCATACAACTTAGTGATATTAATTAAAAGTATGTTTTTTAGTATATTTTGAATATTTTTTTTGTGTTGCACTATATTAATTACTTAAATGTCATTTTATTAATAATATATTTCTCTAATAAAAATGAAAATAGTTTTTAAACTAATGTGTACTTCTTTATTTATTAAGATTATTTTTACACATTATTCCAAAACCGAAGGCGGACTCCTAAATAAATAAATAAAAATAATGGTCAACTACACCATTACAAATAAATATATATATATATATATATATATATATATAAAATACAATTAACCTTTAATTTTAAATAGAAATGGTTAATATTTTGTTTTAAAAATATTCTTAAAAATGTTTCAAAAATACCTTTTAATTTTTAAAAATTTCAATAATACCCTCAAATTAATATTATATATCTATATAATACAATTAACTGGTTAATATTTTGTATAAAAAATATTCTTAAACTTTTAAATATGTTTCGAAAATACTTTTAATTTTCAAAAATTTCAATAATACTCGAAATTAAAAAAAAAAATTACCATTAATTTTAAATGAAAATTGTAAATATTTTATTTAAAAATATTCGTAAACAAAAGTGTTTAAAAAATATTGAGTTTTACCTTTAAATTTTTTCAAATACTTTGAAAATCACATTTAACATTTTATCATTAATATTGTGACGGAATTGTTAATAATACATTTTATAAAAAAATACTTATGAACTTTCAAAAATAATGTTATATCTTTAACCATATAGAATATTAAGTAATTAAAAGTTTAATTTATATTTACTATGAAAATTCTAAATTAATTTAAATATGAAAACAATATGTCCAAGCTGTGAAATAATGTTAAATTTCATTAAATTCTAAATCAAATATTATTATTTAATTTCTATCTGAAATGACAATTATTATTATTATTATTATTATTATTTCTTCCATTGAACTTGTCTTAGCTTTTGACACTTTCTCTTGATAATGTAATGTCAACTCTACTAGTTGACTTTTAATTTTTCAACCCCTATTTAATTTATTTTTTTTTTCTATATGTACCTATAATAAAATAAGAGATTTTAATGACTTTATGTTTTATTTTATTTTATTGCACTAGGGGCTTCTATTCTTTTTAATTTAAAAATATAAGATATAATTCCGCACAACTCATTTACACAACCACTTATTTGTTCGGGCCAAGTAGGCAAGCAATTTTTTCTCTACTAATAATCTCAACCGAGGTTTGTTCATGGACAAACCTTCAATCCGATCTGCCCCTAGCTCCATAATCCACCCCTCTTTCCTAGTCCCATCAAACTCTTCAATCTAATCCTCTTTTTCAACTCGAGTTTAAAGTTCAACCTTTCGTTATCGATGAACTAAGTGCTCTTAGACATAGAAATAGAACAAGTCTTAAAATAGATCGAGAGAAAATCATTGACATGTCTAAATAATATTAGGTTTAAATTCAATCACTAACGTTGAAATATGAGAATGAATATAAGAAAAAACATATTGTCCACAACCTCACAGTTTTAAAAACGCGTCAGTCAGAGGTTCCCACACCCTTACACAATCAATTCCTTGGGGCCCTACGTTCTCGTTGACACACCGACCAATGTCTAACTCTGATAATATTTGTAATAGTTTGTCCATTTTGGCCAATTATATATCATCGTCAACCTTATGCTTTTAAAACGCGTTTCTAGAGAGAGGTTTTCACACCTTTATAAGAAATGCTTCGTTCTCCTCTCCAACTAATATGAGATTTCACAAAAACGATATAATATATATTATTATTGATTAATATAACTCATGACACGAACATATTCGTATAGCTATATGATAAACACGAAGATTGAAAGTGAAAACCAATAATAAAAAAAGAATAAAATAAAATTAAGATTCTTATTAATTTATTTTTTTTTTAAACATGGAAGATGTAATTTACTAATATATTTTAATTACCATTAAATTTATTAAAATAATATTGTTAGCATTAGCTTCAATTATCTATACAAAAATTAATTTTAATTTTATTTAATTTCAAATTTATTTAAATTTACCTGTCTCAAGATTACCCGGGAAGAGAAATATATTATTAGATAGAAGTGTTCGTAATCCAACACTATCTTACTCTTAAAAAGTTCATGACAGTTTATGACAGATGTTAGTGTTGTGTTATGACTGGTAAATGTTTGATATTTGAACTTTACGAGATTTTTGTTATAAATGCAACAAATATTGTAGATAAGTATGATTTATCCCGACAACCTAACCAAACCCAATTCGAAAATAGAGATGTTGGGTTGAGTTAGGTTGCGAACTTTATTTGAGTTACTTAGGTCAAATTGGTCCGAAAGATTTTTCCGACCCAACCCTAAATTCGTGCACCCCGATTGCTAGAGTAGCTCTTTAATTGTCATTAGCTCTCTCCTATAACGTCTAAGATTTGATCCCTCATCCTTGTTCTACTGTATATGGAAACGGTGAGTCGATACTTTTTTTAATAACAAAGTGTAAATGATTAAAATATCAATACAATTGATACATTTGTAAATCATTCAATCGAGAGGTATTCGCCACGAATCTGGAGGAATATAAGAGAGAGTGAGGAGAGATTTCTCTCTCTTATCTAAGAGGGAGTTTGAAGACGGATATTATATTCTTGTTTCTGTTACCATCCTCGACACCGACACCGATTTTGACCTCGCCACATATATATATATATATATATATATATATATATATATATATATATATATATATATATATATATATATATATATATATATATTTTAAAAGAACTGACAGAAAACTTAACCTATTGAACATCTTTATCCTGACTTCAATATATATTATATACCTACAGTTTTTAAAATTATATACCCACCTCAATATTTTAATCATAGATTTGATTAAGTTGTCTTAAATTAATCCATAAATAATTAGAAATGCTTTATGTTTGTTTGAATCAGTCCTTAATCTGTGGTTCGCTAAATTACTTCGAATTGAAGAAGAAAATAATGAACGTTGACGAACACGACGGTCTCGGAGGCGTCGCTGCTCATGGTCTTCACTCAGAGTATGGGGACTTCCTCCTCCGCAACAATGGCGACAAGGTACTCCAATCGATTATTCGATTCATTATTGATCCACATGTTTTCGCGCGTTTTTCATTTTGGATTTCTTGCTTTCTAAATTGCGCCGATTCTAGCCTCTTCCTCTTACTCTTGTCCTTTAGAACTAGTCATTTAAACAGATTTTGCTAAATTTTTAGTTAGAAAAAGTATCAGGACTGGAACTGGAACTGGAACCCTTTGTCAATTTTCTTCTGGTGTATTGTATGTTTTGTCTCAAGTCGATTAGAAACCTCTTTCTAGTAGACGCATTTTAAAAATCTTGAGGGGGAAGTCTAGAAGGGAAAGCCCAAAGAGGACAATATTTGCTAGTGATAAGCTTGGGCTGTTACAAATGATATCAGAGCCAAGTTACCGGACGATGCAAGACACTGGTCGGAGTAGGGCTAGACCCTCTCCATAGTAGGCGTGTTTTAAAACCGTGAGGCTGACGGCAATACGTAAAAGGTAGCAAACAATATTTGCTAGTTACAAATGGTATTAGAGCTAGACACTGGACGGTGTGCTAGTAAGGACGCTAGCCCCTAATGGGGTGGATTGTGAGATCCCACATTAGTTGGAGAGGGGAATGAAGCATTCCAAGGGAAACCTCTCCCTATCCCATCAGTTGGAGAGGTTTCCCCTTATAAGGAATGTTCCGTTCCCCTCTCCCTAGCATAC